AAATTTGTTTTGCACTACTTGTAATTGATGCAGTTGAGTTTGAGTGACCGTGTTCCAAGCAGGAGCAGCATAACAAAGTATTAGGTCGAATGCAAGTGGTATAATGTATGTTTTTGGTATGCAAGCTAAGATTTGAATATTTTCCAATTACCGGGAGAAATCTGCACATATTATGCCCATGGCTTTGCTCTTGACACTTATTAATGTGGTTAGACCATGTGAGCCTTTGGTTCAAAATAATTCCTACAGTATTTGGCCTTTGTGACCAAGAGGAACAGCTTCCTGAAAAAAAGAGTAGAGATCTTTAAAAGCAATGCTTTTCTTAGTTTTGCTAAGAATTAAAAGTTGTCACTTGCTAGCATTGACTTTTACGCGCCAATTTGTGCACCAGTCTTCTACGGCATAGAGGTAATTTTCCATTTTGTCTATTGCATGATTAGCTTGGATGGATTTAATTGCAATCGCCATATCTTCGGCATAGCATGCTAACAGAGACTAATTGTAGAAACCAGAGTGAGGAAAATCTGATATGTAGAAAAGATATAACACTGGACCGAGAATACTTCCTTGTGGGACGCTGGATCTTATAGGTCTTGAATTGGATTTTTCATTTCCTTGAACGACGAAGAAAGTGCGGTCAGCAAAAAGGATAAGATCAAAAGAATGAGTTCTCTAGGAAGTCCCAAATTGATAAGCTTGAAAACGAGCCCCTCATGCCAGACGCGGTCAAAGGCTTTTGCCACGTCTAGCATAAGGAGCGCAACACTTTGCTTGTTATGGAATGCATATCCCACAAATTCTACAATTCTTGCTAGTTGCCGAGTAGTACTGAGGTTTTTTCTGAATCGGTACTGATCATTAGGTAGCAGGTGAAGAAAAGGTTCCAATCTTGTGAGAATAAGTCTTTCATAAATCTTACCAAGGCTGGATAACAAACTAATTGGACGATAGCCATCAGGCTTGGTCACATCTTTACCCGGCTTGGGAAGAAGAAAGATCTTGACCTGCTTCCAAGGATCAGGGAAATAGTTGAGAATAAGACAAGCGTTGAGAATACTAGCGAATTTACTGATAAGACTTCTAGGTAAGTTACGAAGCATTTTATTAGTAATTTGATCAGTTCCAGGAGCTTTTTTTGATGTTGAGATGTCTAATAATATTAGTAATTTCCATAGGAGAAGTAAGCCTTGGGATGTTATGAGCCGAAGAAGAATGAAGCCAGGAATACACATAGTTTTCCAGAACATCTTTAAAGGTCTGATTCATGGGCTGCATATTAGGAGTAAACTGCTTTTCCAGGTATTCAGGGAAAATATCAACTTTATCTTTAAGTGAGTAGGCAATTTTAGTATCCGTATGAATAGGTCTATTGTTAATACTACTTCATTTAAGATTTTGAAGTTACTTCCACAAAGAACCATCATTAATATTAAATTTAGATATAAAAACTTCTCTTGTTTCCTTTTTAAAATCAGTTATAAGCTTCTTTAATCTTCTATTAAAAATATTGATTTCTCTTTTAAGGGGAGGGTCCCAGTTACGGTGCCAAAGCTTCAGCAATCGGTTTCTTTCTTTGATAATGTCTCTGATACTGCGAGGGAGTCGAATATTATTGTTAGTTAATTGAATGGTAACTGTAGCATATCTGAAAGCTTTCAGTATACTGTCAGTGAAGATTTGAATGGAAAAATCGATATCCTGTTTGGTAGAAAGTGAAGTGAAAATAGGAGGATGTTCGATTAAGATATTGTGAAAAGTAATCCAGTCAGTATTATTTCTGGTAATAGGAGAGTCTTCTTTAGAAGCTCCAAGGGAGGCAATGACAGGTACATAATCAGATGTAAGTTATGCCTTGACTTCCAAGGAAATAGGGATAGAAGTATTTGTAAGGATAATATCCAAGATGTCCGAGAGATTTGAGGAGGCAGGACGATAAGTGGCTTCAGAAGGTACATGTAATGCGACAGGATGATTACAGATAAAATTATGCATAATACGTCCATTGGTGTTAGAACGACGACATCCCCATTCGAGGTGCTTAGCATTCATGTCTCCGGCAATAACAACTTGCTGATCTTCAGAAAGTAAGTTTTTTAACATATTTTCAGAAAGTCGATTTCGTGGTGGATTATAAATAGCCGTAAAATGGATGGTACCAAATTGTGGGAGTATAACAGCAACAGTCACACTTTCGAATCCAGAAGCAGAGTTTGTCGTCCTCCTGTACCTCGAGGAGAAGCCCTATTTATAGATATGTGTGCGTCATGTTGCTCATCCAATCAGCGGTATTAATTGAAATCACGAGGTGACGCTATCTTCTCATCAGGAGTGTTCTTAAGGACTTTATGTAATATGACAGATTTATGAATTTGGCGATTTGGCGGGCGCCAACAGGTTAATATAATTTATAATAAAGAAAGGATTTCGCCAAACTTTAGCAACAGGGATGCAATTTAGGTAGAGAATCGCCAACACATTATTAAGGAATATGATTAGAATTTAATTTAATCAGCTGATTTAAAAATATCATTACGTATATATATATATATATATATATATATATATATATGTGCGTGTGTGCGTGTGTATACTACACGCATTACGCTCAAAACTTTAAAAGTTCTTCTACAAAAGCTACATTATGCATAATGTCTGCTATCTAAGATTAAATTAAGATTTATTTTCTTAAAATAAGTTCAATGATTTTTACAAATGAGAAGAAAATTATCCCTTAGTAAATTCTTTCCTATTTCATTAAAAGTTTTCATGAGCTTTCTTAATTGATTTTGTTATGACTTCTAAATAGGTTAAATGAGTGACATTAATAGGTTAAATTAGTTAAATGAATTCTAGCGAAGCAGTTTCTGTAACTAATTTTACCGTTCTATAGCGCCTTTTTATGACGGTCGTGATTAATTAATTTGATCAGCGATTTCTGTCGAATCTGCAGATATAAAACTGCAGAGTCCATCGGATGTTAAATGCTAAAGGTATTTCTCCCACCTTCTTGGCATGCCTTCGTGGTGTAGTGGTCTGCACGCTGGGCGCGTGTTCCAGATGTCCGCGGTTCGATTCGCGGCGAAGGCGTTGTTCATTTTTCATCTTGCCTGCTTCCAAAAATATCCTAATGTCTCTACAGTCGCGCCCGAACTAAAAGGGTGGTGGATGATGATTCTCCGAACCCAGGATTTGCAAATGGGTCCTCTAAAAACCCTAGTCGCCCTTTAAAAAGGGGAGTGTATAAGGTATTTCTCAGAACTTCTTGGAATGCCTTCGTGGTGTGGTGGTCTGCACGCTGGGAGCGTATTCCAGAGGTTCGCGTTTCGATTAGCGGGGAAGGCGTTGCTCAATTCTCATCTTGCTTACTTCCAAAAATATCCTAATGTCTCTACACTGAAACCTTGTTTATTTTTTCCTACATAATAACGTACACGATTTTCTACAGAATATGCAAATTCTCCAACATTCTGTATTCCCTGAGTTTTTTCTTATTTCACTTTACCCTTTTGTACTTACTGAAAGTGATTTAAACCAGACACAGTTGAAAGATCAATTTTTAGAAAGTGGATTTACTCACAGATTATCTGTAGAATCTTAGTTTTTCGACGGAAGACAAAAGTTTCGCGAATTTCTCAATACGAGGTATAAATCGGCAGAGGTTCATCAATGGTCAGGCAACTGTTGATTAATGTAACTATTATTACTGAAATGGTCTGATGAAGATATGAGTCACACAGAAGTAATTGTATTTTTAAAAAGTATACAAATTACATTAAAAATTTTTAAATTTATGTATTAATAATGAAAACGATATAAAACCAATCTGTAAATATTTTAATGGGCGAACTCTTAAGTTGTGCAATAGCTACAACTCTCATTTAAACACAATTAATTCTTTTAACTATTGATGTAAAGTGCACTAGCACAATGTTTTGCAAGGCGCAATTAGGTGCTTATTTTCTCTTCTAAAGATAGAAGTTTTCGAAATGTAGCACTAAATTTCTATAGCTGAAATCCTCTGCAGTTAATCTCAATTATACTACAAAATTTCAGATTTTTTTAGTACTTCTCATTTTTGGTTATTAATAGCTTGATGACAATGGGGAAAACCCGTAGTTTGAAACGCAATAATTTATATCACGTCGAGTGGAACTATACAAATTTGTCGTATTGCGCAGCTAGTGATCTTAAAAGCATAAGTACTTAGCACATCCAGTTACCAGTTGGAAGACCCACGGTTCAAATCCTGGCGAAGGTATGGTTGATTATTCATGCTTCCCTGCTCCGAAAAACTCTAAGATCTCACCAGTGGCACCGAAAATAAAAATGTATTTGACGAGAGCTTGTCATCACTTCACTGGTTAGAGTGAACTCTTTTCCTGCTTTCCGCTCCGAGATATTTAATATTCTGTTTGCAATAAAAGGTCTTTCTATCGAAAAACAAAACCTCGGGCAGGAAATATTCCACATTTTGAAGCTTTTTCTTCAAAATGCATACTAATGTTTCTAATGAATGACAACTGGATGAAAGACTGAAACAACAAAATATACTAAATGCAGAAATTAATATGAATATTCTATTCGTTTAACAATTATTTTCAATCTTTGTTGTGGTGTACTCAGAGATCCAATTCTTAATGCAACATTTCTTTAAAGAAGAAAGATAATTTTTCCTGTAAATAAAATTTTGCATGTCCTTAAATGTAAGTTTCATGCTTTCTGTATTCATTATTATATTTAAAACGTAGCATCAGCATAATAATGAAGAAATACGAGTATTCTTCGTGAGATTTGAAATTTTCAGTGTTACCCTCAGAAGAGAATAAATTGATAAATATATCACCATTTGTTTTAGTTCACCGCTTACATTTTCTTTCCTTTCTTCAACAAAAGCTGCGTAACCTTTGTTAAAGTTCATTTAAAAGGGTGATAAAAATGGCAGGGTGACGGTAAAATGCAATAAAATGGCTCCTTAAAAGCCGATTTCAGCAGTAACTTACCCCGATGTCATGGTTAAACACATTTGTTCGGACGGAACGGTTGTAGAGAGGCTGAGGAGGGCGATAATTATTAGCAAGGATAGTTTTGGGATGCAGTTCGTCCCCTTGCATCAGACGGCGTAGTAGAAATATCTGAAATGAAAATAAACATCAAGTTACGTTTCTACTTAGTGAAAACGTTAAGTCCATTAAGAGTTATATAATTTGTAGAAACATAGTAATCATTATTGATTGTTAATACAAATTTCTGAAGCTAGTTCCAAATAAGTATTTCGAATTATTGCGAAAAATATTCATATGAGGGAATGTCAAGATTTACGGTTACTCTTAGCAGATTCTATCTCCTGTAGAAATTAAATAATATTTTCCAAACTTTACGTCTGTTATTATGTAGAATTGCCACACAATCATCTCAAAAGGACTCTAGACAGTGGCTGATGTCTAAATCACTAAGTAGTAAATTAGTCCTATATGCATTGTCATGATTTAATTCATCTTACATACGTATTCTTATTGTACTTTCACGAGCTGTTAAATAGCTTCTCCTTTATACTCTGAGACAGTGCTTCATTGGCTGATTTATGAAAAATATTTTCCCTTTTATTAAGAGTTACATTTGAGATAAAACGTACCGTACATTTCTTGTCTATTGGGATAATATTCGCTCAGATCAGAAAGATACAGCAAATTTAATAGGCAACTTGCATGTTTTAAATGTTGAAAGTTAATTTTTCTCGTATACCTGCACATGTCGCCATTGTGACCAAGTGAATATAATTTTCTTAAATGTTTTGTTAAAGACTAGAGATATTTAATTTATGTGCCATGGTAAGTTCTTTTTTTTTTCTTTTTTTGAAAATGAATTATTAATTGTTAATTTGACTTTCAATTTGGATTAGCAGTTCAGATATCTATGCGATTAGGCTCATTTCTCAGTTAAATTTAATTTCACACTGCACAAATTATAGATTAATTGATTATGACAAATTAAGCTATATTTATCTGCCATAGGAGGGATGTCTTCGTAGAGAACTTAATAATGAAAATGACATTGTATTCATTTATAAAACCCCACGGAAAATTCGTACAGTCTGTCTGCCGAAAACTGAATCCATGACAAACTGTTAGTGTTCAAGTGATCAGTTATCTTAACAAATTCGCCACTATTGGTCTATAAGAAGATATACATTAGGCACAGTCAGGAAGATAATTTAATATCTTTGATAATAAAACATGCATATATAGAGACAAAGAGGCCTGAAACATTTTAACGTTTTTACTTTAATAAAGCAAAATAGTCTATCCTTGGTTAACAACTATACTACAGACACAGATCTAGGAAACTTGAAACGCATTCTTCTCTCATTTTCTTACTTCCGAGTGTAACTTCAATTCTGCATTCTATGTCCCAATGTGATCAGTGTGTTCAGGATCAGGAGTTTAACATTTACAGGAAGCAGTACATTTTTAGCATTTTGGAGAATTGTAATTTACCACTTGATGCAATGTTAACGATAAAAAATTCTTGGCAAATTCTTATAGAATCAGTCATCCGAAACTGTTTTCAGCATGATGGTCTAGCAATGCGTGTAACATAACTGCAATTAAATTTTTAAAAAAAATTCTTAAATTAGTTTAATTATTCACTTCTTTTGGTAAATGTGACAGTAAGTTTCGTGAGTTGGTTTACATGAAGTAAATCGTTTTCTTATCGGATCAGTTATAGCGAAACAATTTTCTGGTCTCTTGAAGTTCGTCTTAAGATTCGATCGTATTTCCTTCACATTCTACATTTCTAGTTCATGTATCGTTATCTACAATATTGGAGAACTTCAGTTGCTCATTTGGAAGTACTTTATAGGCATGTGCCTTTATAAATTTTATTTGGACCCTACTTTATTGCCAGTGTTGTCGCGCTGGTTTGGGACAATCTATTCAACAACATAAAGCCTGTCCGCATACGTCGAGTGTCTCCAGAGGCTGCTTGCTGTCAATGATTTCGTTAGAATGGCAGTTGTAGTCACGCAGTTTGCGTGACGTTGCCAAACACTTCTAAAATAATTCTCAGCAAATCCTTAGGACAAATTTACAAGCCTGTATAGAGCTATTGTAAAATGAGCATTGAATATACTCATGCATTTCGGTAAGAGGCAGCTGGACGTCATGTTAATATGTAACATTTCTAGGTCTACGTTTTCTCAATAAATTATTGTTCGCTATTAAATTTTAATAATTTATTCATTTTTGTCGCCTATTTTCTCATGTGAATGTTTACTATTATTGAAATATTTTTAGGTATGGGGGCTATTTTGACACAGAATTCATTTTTCTCTTTGAATATCTTAAACATTCTCAACAGAACAGATGTTTCAAATAGACTGTAGCATTTTAAGGATCCTTTCCTCTCCAAGCAGCATATTTTATATCTCTAGATAAAAAAATAAAATGGAATTTTTCTTGTAATTGAAACTTATAAAATATTTTAATTACCGATGTAGTTTTTATATTGTTAGTAATTACAAATGCACAGATGCATTCCTAAACTTCAGCACTTTTTAAATTGTACCGCATTGTACTTTTATCATCAAATAACTATATTCCTCATTCAAGTGATGAATTTCAAATTGTTTTCTTGTAGTGCTTAGTTAAATAAAGTAATATTTCAACAAAGCAGCTTGAAATTGCTCTTTTCAAATGTGACTGCTCATTTTAAATTTCATCTCTGTGAATGAAGATCTCATTTAATACTTTTACCGCTAATTACTGTTGGGAATTGGAATTTAATTTTCTTTGACTCAATACACAAGTCACACTTTTGTTCTGTTTGCATTGTATTATGGTGAACAGATTTGATTAAATTGGAAGGTCTAATAATAAAAACATGTTTTTTATAATAAATGTCGCGAAACATTTTTAAAGGATATTGATATTCTTGTTTCAGTGCCGTAATATATTATCTTTCCTCACTGATTTGAAAGAATATTAATGAAAACTTTAAAATATATGTACTGTGAGATACAATAATTTCAGAAATGTGAAAATTTCTTTTTAATTTTAGTTAAGAAAGCATTTACAAAGCAGAGCGTTCTGTTAGTTACTTGTATAAGCTACGGTTTTATGAAAGTGATTAGTTAATTAAAAAGTTAATTAATTAAGTTTTATTAAACAAATGCCTTAAATACAATTTCTTTTAGGAAACAGGTTTCATACCTTTCACCATAATTCTGATCAGTGTGGTGTTAGAACTATTTACTCATGACGCAAATTTAGAAAGCGAATCATCGAATGCTTTTAAATGCCATTTTCGGTGCAGCTCAGGAAGCAGTATTCATAATTTTTAGTAGTATTCTTTACATAAGTGGTGAATGCTTTAGTAAAAAAAAAAAAACTTAATTTATCCGAATAAAATGAATTCCTCTGAAAAATCTAATTAGTTATTAATTTGATTAGTATTTAAAGTCCAAATATTCTTTTATGAATAGAATGAGAATTTGCGTTATTTTTTAATTGTCCAATACATGTCAAAGAATTAATAATATAAATACATTACATCTCGAGGGAGAGGGCGAACTCACGCCCAGCATTATTATCCAGCAGCAACGCGAAATCCCTGACAGACAAATTTGATTTTTCCTGGATTCTTACAAGACGAAACAAAAAGAAAAGGATAAAATGGAGGAGCGTTATCTTTCATCGGGAGCTGAGATGCCTTCATATTTCTGTCTCCCCTGAGAGAGGGAGATTACGCTCATCTTCACGACATACCCGATCACTTACAGAAGTGTAACCGAAATAAATGAACGATCCGTGTTTTCCTGGATTCAGACATGATGACTATTACTTCTTTGTAATACTCAGTTGCATTTTTCTTAAGACTGAATTTTCAATAATTCCTAAAAACTAAATAAGCAGGTGATAAAAGAATTACGTTCTGTAAGATATTAAGAGTAAATAAATAAGAATTAAATAAAATACCTTTAAGTAGATGATGCGTCAAAAATATATGAAAAATGTAAAGATTACTTGTATTTTCTTTTCATAAAAATAACTTTCCTAATCATATATGAATTTAAGTCTTGTATGTAATTTTGAAATAACTTCAATTTTAGTAGTGATTAAAAAATAGTAATGCAGTATATGTCCGCAAAATACATGTACTAATTGCACAAGCTTTCAGTCAGTCTGCATTTAGTTATACATGAAAAAATAAGAATGATGAGTGATACATTCATTATAAAATGGAACACATTTTGTGGAGGGAAAATTTTGTTTGTAATAATGTATTACCAGGACACCTCTACAGTATTAATACACAGTTATAAATATTGCACACAAGCCCACCAGCAATCAAACAATAGAATCGCTGAACACTGGTAATTCTACCCAAATCTGGCGAAACAGCTGGTTGCAGGAATGTTTCGTTGTTTTCCTCAAGTGCAAGATCAATACTATTCCGTTTCCCTTAAAATGTCTTCCAATAAGTTATTTCTCTCTCTACCTAGCCAAGATAGCTCTAGCTGCTTAGTTATAATCCAACTAATCCAATCTATGTATATTGCCTGCTTGAACGTATCAGAAAGAATATATTCATTGATATATATTTTGAGAGCATCAAACAAACATTAAAGCACAGAAAAACTGTAAATCTATAAATATGAAATAAATACCATTTGCAAATCCTTAACATGCAAAGAAAAAAATCTATAGCATTTAGTACATATTACAGCTTCAAGCAAAATATGCAGATCATTTTAAATATGCATTCAAAAACCAGAAAAGAAGAAAATGCTTATTTAATCTAAGATATTATAACAATGAAACTGAAAAGTAGACAGGGAAAACCTTAATTAAATTTTAGCTAAGTTAAAGCAATCAAACAAATTCTGCTTTATATGCCTTCTTTTTGAAGAACTGCTTATTACGGAGGAGTCAAATATTTGCAGTAAAATTATGAGAACATTATTTGCAAATAACAACATAAAAACGAAGTCATCACTAAATATAATTTTCCCTGCTTAGAAAATTTGATGCAGATATTTGATAATACTGACCTTTAGTCTTCGCAAGCTGGAAATTTTGAAAGCAAATGTCATAGACAATGTCACAATCCCAATACTTTTAAGAAAAAAATATA